TATATTTATAATTTCTAGTAGAGAGATTTGCTACCTAATAAGAACCCCAGGTACTAAATTACAGCCAATTTGGTCAAAAATGCGTCAGCGAATTAAGTTAAAAACACGCTTAAGAACCTAAAATTGGATGTACCGTTATATGGGAGCTAAGCCGAAACGTGGACCGATATATCCCGAACTTGAACTGTCTGCATATAAAATATATGCTATATGCTAAATTTTGGCGATCTATCTCAATTCGATTAGTGACTAGAGTGATTACAACAGACGGACAGACGGACAGACGCACAGACGGACATGCTTAGATCGTCATAGAATTTTACGTTGATCAAGAGTATATATACTTTATAGGGTCGGGAATAATTATTTCTAGGAGTTACAAACGGAAAAAACAAAATTAATATACCCTCCATACTATGGTGGAGGGTATAAAAAGGGGGTTATATGGGGACTACCCCAAAAAAGAATATTATTAAAACTATATATGGCTCTGAATAAGATCAATAAATCCTAACATGTCTACATCAAAGGCAAATCTGTGGATACTGCCTTGCATGAGATGGTCGGACACATTGGTAAATTCCCGTTACTCATTTGCTGCGTTCTTGAAACTGGAATCTAACCATTCATCTTTAACGGAATGGATTGATAGAATGAAGGAATGTGCTGAAATGCTATTGGAGATAATTATGTGTGGAAATCTTTCAAGGATAGGAACAAAGGGCGATTCTCTCTCATCTACTGTGGTTTCTTGTGATAGATGAGATATTGACAAAATTAGATAATTTAAAAAAATGAAGGTAGTATGCCGATGATCTCTGACATAAGGCCGGGTGCCTTATAAACTCTGTATAACTGAGCCCAGGACATCGGTCTTGGGGTGAAACCCACAAATACAGAAATTGTACTCTTTATTAGAAAACGTAAAATCCAAAATTCCGCCTATCATCTTAGGGTGGATCAACCATATATATTTCCTACAATTTAATGTGAAAAAGGAATGTTTAAGAGCGTATTAAGAAAGGTAATATCACTCTACTAATGCAAGAACTTTATAGGTCAGGACTAACACCTGAGATCGTATTACAACCAGTGTTACGGTTGTCCTCCCTTTACTTATTTGTGGCTGGCAAGCTTCCTGGAATGTCATTTTCAATCTTCAATCGTTGAATCTTTCTGTTAAATTCCGGGCGACGAGGTGTGCTCTGAGACTCAGAGAAACGGACGCGTATAGGACACGTCGCATATTGGTTATTCTAGTATTGACTTTTTATATAGAAATACTCACATTAGTGACAATATTCCCCCTCCGACTTTGACGACATAAGAGTAAATAATCCTAACAGGGAATAACATCGTAGAACTACTTCGCTGCTCACAAGTGAGAAATCAAACTTCCAATAGGGATCATAACATGTCACTGCAGGAATAGAAAATTAATTTAAAATTGGGACATCAATGAAATGAACTATTGCCGTTATATGAGGATGGGGAAGAGCTGGAAACAATTGAACATATACTCTGGAGATGTCCATCGCTAAGTAGGATAATACATCGACAGTTTGGCAAATATGAAATTGATTCTCTAGCATTCTTCTCTGGAACAATCTACAAAATGATATTTTTGATATTTTTGACATGGCTACACTAACCAGCATATCTCCACTATACCACTTTTGACTATCCGTCTTCCGCTTTTTTCCATGGCTTTTTTATTTAGGTACCTTGGATGAGCACAAGGCACATCATATATCCGAGTGATGCGGCTGCTAGAAAACAAACTAACATATATGTGGATCTGAATGGGGTAGTCAGCTCCCATATGCTTGAGTACTCTCTGGAAAAAATATAAAATCCCCAATCAACATTTCCCAAAGCAATCCGTGCTATGAGCGAGCACGTAACGAGGACAACCTCCCAATGTGATCCATCCTCTCCAATGACAATGTGAATATTTAACATCTATGAGTGTTCAATGATCCTTGAAGTATTACATATATGTGGTTCAAAAGCTTGTGCCCAATTTTGTGAATAGCTATTCTTTCTTGGTTTCAAAAAAAATTATTTTTGGGTTTGGGTTTAATTCGACCCTAATCTTATTCAAGAGTGCCCCTTTAAATTAGAAGTGAAAATGTCAACAAGTCTTGAAGATTTAGCCGATTTAATGTGTCAGCATCAAGCGACGGCGGAAGTGCTTCTCGTTTTTTTTTGAAACAGATTTTTAAAAATGTTCGTATATAGCTATCAAATGAACTAGGTCGGTCAAGATCTTCCTTATTTTCTAACTCGGTTTATGGTCGAAAGTAGGGAATTTTTCAAAAATAAAAATTCATATGTCCGCCATTTTCTTAATTTTTGTGCGATGTTAATAATTCTATGTCAGACATTGGAATTTTGCCGTTGGAATTTTTAGAGTCCAGTGATAGGAAATCATGCCCGTCGTCCAAAAGAAGGACTTTTCGTTAATTACAAAAAAATATGTCAATTAATTTTTTATCCTTTAAGTCTTTTATCCTTGAAGAAAGTTATCAATGTGGATGTTTGGCTTCCTAATTTCAGCAGATTTTTTATACACATTAATTTTCGGGCTTTAGCCACATATTTTCACAGTGTTATCTTTTCCTCCTAGTAGATGATATGCTAATAAATTCGAATTTTTTTCTTTATTAAATATTGAATGTATCTTCACTTGTAGTCCACATTAAAAATACTGTGCACCGGCGCACTGTCAAACAAAACGTCTAGATCAGAAGGGAGTCGAAGTTCATCTAACTCAGGCTAATAGACAATACATTAGACAAACTATGAGCGTGGCAGAGCCAGCAGCAAGAGATGTTATAAACCCAATAAGTTTAAGGGAGATGAGATGTTGAGGCTGCTGCTGTTTCTGGCTTTATACAAATAATGACACCAACAACAACAACAGCAACAAAATCCGGGTTAAAAACACCGGCTAGTTGTTATAGAGAGAAGAAGCATCTTGACGATACGAAAGTGAAACCAAAAAGAGTTAATGAAAACGTAAATCTCTCAAAGTTAAGAGACACAACAAAGTGGCAGCGTACGCCGCACACACACATAACTGATGGATGAGGAGGGAGCGGTCTGGTTGTACAATTTAAGAAAAAAATAAATAGCTGAGGACGTTGGCTGACTGGCTGATGTTGCTACCAGCTATTACTACCGGGGAGTAGCAAAGAGCGTCTTGATAGAAATAATAAAACAAAAACATACTAGCTAGTGTGGTAGCTAGCTGACTGGCGTTTTTTTTTTGCTTATTTGCCTCAGCCTCTGTATTTGTTTGGGTTGTTTTGTATTTTCGGAAATTCCTTATGACGGATTTCATATAAATTGGCAAAGGGAGAACTTAAAATGCATCATTCGCATTTTCAAAGTTTAGCAGTTAACAACAACGAAACGGTCTGGCTAGAAAACCGATAAACTGAACGGGGATCACAAAAACACGGCATCTTCGGTTAAACCCAAGATTATTTTATGGATTTATTAAAAATCTAACGAAATACAAAAAAAACTATTAAATTGCAAAACAAATAAATAGAAAAATAAAAAAGTATTAATTATAAGAAAAAAATGGTGAGTTGGTGTAATGTCAAAAAAAAGTAATAATAAAAAATAAAACTTGAAAAAATAAAGACTCATTCTGAGGCCAGTTTGTAAAAATCTTCTGTGCCTGCCTCAGTGTATCATTTTCAGTGATGTGATTTATGTGGTAATCGAAGATGACATTTTGTGATGATGATGAACTTATCATCCTTGTCAAAAACAATCAGTGAAACAACAACAACAAAAACGACAACGTAACGCATAAAGTAAAATATTACAAAATCCCTTTTTTTGCAAGACATTGTCATGAGAAACAAATGCAAAATCACATGGATAAAACAAATATGAGAATCTGTAGCCAATGCAGAAGTGTGTGAGTTTTTTTGGGCCCAATGAAAACCTTATGAAAAAAAACTGAAAATATAAAAAAATGTTCTGCAACTAAAATAGACGTCATTGTGGGTAAAGTTTTTGTTTGCCACACAATTCAAAGTCGTGACAAAATTTCCAAGAAGCAGGAAAAAAAGAACAACGGGAACAATGCCCAAAAATAAATCCACACTCGAGCCCAAAATGAACTCTCGAAGTTCATATGAATGCATTACAGGCAGAATCGATGCGGGTTGGGGAAGCAAAATATATGCAGCATCTAACATAAAATGTATGAATGTCTGTGAGCTATTGCTGCAATTGTGTTTAGAAGTGATTTAATGATATTTCAACAACATTAACATCAGACACTGCATCAACAAGCGAGGCAGCAGCGGCATCATCGTTTTGCCAGGCAGACCGCAATACCTTTAAAAGGGCTTTTAAAAAACTCACGTCACTTTTTTGAAAATTGCCTCTAATGGCTGTGATGAAGTTACAGTAGCTATGACAGCCTGAGTTTTTTCTTTTCTTATTTGATTTTGAGATGCGATGATGCTGTTGATGATAGCATTGCTGGGTGATTGGTTTAGCCTGACTTGGCTAGTTGATGGCATCACTTGTTTCTAAATGAGACATTTGTTAATAAATTGCAAATTCTTTCGTTGATGTTGTTTTTGTTATTTGTTAATATAAACGTTGCAATATTTTTTCTATACACTTAGTGAGGTTATTTGTTAACGATAAAGATCTTCATGAAAATTTATCAGTGCAGTGATTTTAATTAGCACACAAATTATTGACAACTAAAGAACAATGTCTGGAATATTGTAGATGTAAAACTTCCATAGTTATTTTCCCAAAGGATTATTAAAGGATTTTACATATTACTATGTTCTGCTTACATATTTTCCACAAAAATTATGGAAAATCCTTTGTATAACAGGATATTCAAATTGACTTTTGAGTAAAAACAAAAAAATAAATTTATATTACATACTCTCAGTCGTTCCCAACGAGTTCTCCTCTGAAAGTTTTAAAAATATCCAAAATAAATAAAATTTATCTCTTTACAGAAACTGTACATTCCTCTGATAGCGGTCTTGGCCGCTGTCAGTGTTTATGGCGATGTTTCCCATTTGGATACTGATCTCCGTGAAGATGGCTATCATTACAAACAGCCATCAGTGCCATTTCCTCAACCTCCCTCAGGTAATGGCATAGAGGATAATGACTACAAACCTCCCCGGCCAGCTCCAGGACAACGACCAACGGGACCTGCAGCAGGACCTAGCTACAAACCATCTGGACCAGCACCAGGTTTTGGACTAACAGGTCAACAGCCATCTGGACCAGCACCAGGTAGTGGCGGTCCAAGTTATAGGCCATCAGGTCCTGCCCCAGGCTATGGTCCTTCTGCCCCCAGTTATAAACCTTCGGGCCCAGCACCTGGATATGAACCAACAGACACACAACCTTCAGCACCTGCACCAAGTTATAAGCCTTCTGGTCCTGCTCCAGGTTTTGGACCAACAGGACAACAGCCCGGTTCTGGACCAAGTTACAGACCTTCAGGTCCATCTGCACCAAGTTATAAGCCATCTGGTCCAGCTCCCGGATATGGACCAACAGGACAACAACCGTCGGCTACAGCACCCAGTTACAAACCATCAGGTCCTGCTCCTGGATTTGGTACTGGTTCTACTCCTAGCTATAAACCTTCTGCACCTGCTCCAGGATATGGACCGACTGCATCAGGTCCCGGAACGGGACCTCAAGGCCCATCTGGACCTCAAGGACCGTCTGGACCACAAGGCCCCTCTGGACCTCAAGGACCATCTGGACCACAAGGCCCCACTGGACCCACTGGATCTCAGAAACCAAGCGGTGCTGGTCCAAGTTACTTACCACCTCCGAAAACACCATCCGGTCCAGCACCCACCTATGGACCACCCAAACCTCAACCTGGTAAACCTGGCCAAGGGCAACCACGTCCTGCACCCGATTGTTCTGCACCACTTCGTCCCGGTCAACGTCCTCCACCTGGATGCCCTGCACCCGAACCCGATTGTAATGCTCCATTGAGACCTGGTCAGCGCCCTCCACCTGGATGTCCTGAACCCGAACCAGACTGCAATGCTCCCCTGAGACCCGGTCAACGTCCTCCACCTGGATGCCCAGCACCCGAACCTGACTGCAATGCTCCTCTGAGACCTGGTCAACGTCCTCCACCTGGATGTCCAGAACCTGAACCAGACTGCAATGCCCCTCTGAGACCTGGTCAACGTCCTCCACCTGGATGCCCTGAACCTGAGCCAGACTGCAATGCTCTTCTAAGACCGGGTCAACGTCCTCCACCTGGTTGCCCCGAACCTGAGCCAGATTGTAATGCACCATTAAGACCCGGTCAAAGACCTCCTCCTGGATGTCCTGCTCCTGGACCACAACAACCTGGTAGACCCGCACCAGGTCCTCAACAACCTGGTAGACCCGCGCCAGGTCCTCAACAACCGGGTAGACCTGCTCCTGGACCTCAACAACCTGGCAGACCAGCACCTGGACCACAACAACCTGGCAGACCAGCACCTGGACCACAACAACCCGGTAGACCTGCTCCTGGACCTCAACAACCTGGCAGACCAGCACCTGGACCACAACAACCTGGTAGACCTGGTCCAGGTTTGGAGTACTTACCACCTGATCAAAAACCGCAAGGACCATCTGCTAGACCACAACAACCTTTCCCAACTCCATCAACACCAGTTAGGCCTCAAACTCCAGGACCAGAATATGTTCCACCAGGACCTACATATCAACCCAAACCACCACAATCACAACGTCCTCAAGTTGACTGTTCTGCACCACTGAGACCAGGTCAACGGCCTCCACCTGGATGCCCAGCTCCAGAACCTGATTGCAGTGCCCCCTTAAGACCTGGTCAACGTCCACCACCAGGTTGTCCTGAACCAGAACCTGATTGCAATGCTCCCTTAAGACCTGGTCAACGCCCTCCTCCTGGTTGTCCTGAACCCGAACCAGACTGTAATGCACCTTTAAGACCGGGACAACGACTTCCCCCTGGCTGCCCAGAACCTGAACCTGATTGCAATGCTCCATTGAGACCAGGACAACGTCCTCCTCCAGGTTGTCCAGCTCCTGCACCCGGTCCTCAGCAACCAGGTCGTCCTGGTCCCGGACCTCAGCAACCTGGACGCCCCGCTCCTGGTCCACAACCGGGTCGTCCAGTTCCTGGTCCCCAACAACCTGGCCGTCCTGCTCCAGGTCCAGGACCCCAACAACCTGGCCGTCCTGCACCTGGTCCAAGCCCTGAGCAACCTGGTCGCCCCGCTCCTGGACCACAACAACCTGGAAGACCTGGACAAAAACCACAGTTCCCATCCGATAAACCTGGTGTTGAATATTTACCCCCCGAAGGAAATGAAGTTGCTCCAACTAATGGCAATAAACCACGTCCAGGCACTAAACCTCAGCAACCAGATTGCTCAGCTCCGCTGAGACCAGGACAACGTCCTCCTCCAGGATGCCCCGCTCCTGAACCTGATTGCTCGGCACCATTGAGGCCAGGTCAGCGTCCACCACCTGGATGTCCTGCTCCCGAACCAGATTGCTCAGCTCCATTGAGACCAGGCCAACGACCTCCACCTGGATGTCCTGCTCCTGAACCTGATTGTTCTGCTCCATTGAGACCAGGACAACGTCCTCCACCTGGATGTCCTGCTCCTGAACCCGATTGTTCTGCTCCATTAAGACCCGGTCAACGTCCTCCACCAGGATGTCCTGAACCTGAAGCTGATTGTTCGGCTCCTTTGAGACCTGGACAGCGTCCACCAGCTGGATGCCCTGAACCAGAGCCTGACTGCTCAGCACCATTGAGACCGGGACAACGTCCTCCACCTGGTTGTCCCCAACCTGAAGAACCAACGGGACCATTATATCCATCACCATCTCCAAGTCAACCCAAACCAAGCTATCCTTCCACCAGACCACAACAGCCATCATATCCTGGAACACAAACTACAAAACCACAGCAGCCATCATATCCTGGACCACAAAAACCATCATACCCTGGATCTCAAACTACGCAACCACAAAAACCCTCATATCCCGGTTCTCAAACTACTCAACCTCAACAGCCGTCATATCCTGGTTCACAAACCACTCAACCTCAACAACCTTCATATCCCGGTTCACCAACCACTCAACCTCAAAAGCCATCATACCCAGGTTCTCAAACTACACGACCTCAACAGCCCTCATATCCTGGCTCTCAAACCACCCGACCTCAACAGCCCTCATATCCTGGCTCTCAAACCACCCGACCTCAGCAGCCCTCATATCCTGGTTCACAACAACCTTCATACCCAGGCACAGAACCCGGTACTGGTGAGGATGCCGGTTCATTGGGGCCCGATGGCTACAACTACAACAAGCCAAGTAAACCATTCAAATATTAAGGTCGATCCCTACTAAATCTAGACATATATACATACTCATCCGTACGTATTAAGAGCCAAGTATTACCACAATTACCCGACAAGGACAGTCCAAAAACTTTGAAAATTGATGAATGAATGTGCTAACCAAACTCAAGTACCTTGAACTTCCATTACGAAAACCGCATCACTTTTTTTAATTAAAAATAAAAAGAAATCGAACCGATTGTAAAAAACACACAACATTATTTATGTAAAGCCAATGTTTATTTTTTATATGTATAGACATGTAATTTTTGATAAAAATAATATAAATAAATAATTTTCCTAAAAAAATTAAAGTTATTTGTGTGTGTGTGTGTGTTTGTGTGCGTTTAGCTCATCATGTTTTAGAACTCCAAAGTGGAGGTTCATGTGAAATTCTTGACCTTTTGACCAAAATCGTGTACCGCAAGCAGCAAGGTAAGGTATGACAGCTGTCAAGAGGCCGTTGTTGTTGCTGTTGATGTTTACATTTGATGATTTATGGCAATGACGACCTCTAATAATAAGGCGGTAACTAGCACCTCTGCCGAAGCTACAATATTTCATTTGAAACCAAATTCACCTTTAATGTGCAAAATATTAAAAAAAAAAAACCAAAAGCAGACACCAACAAACAAACAAAAATACAAATATTTAATGTTGTTGCCAATAAAAAACAAATATGATGAGAATTGTTTTTTTGTCTACTTAATTCAACTTTATGAGTTTCTAAAATACTTACGCTGTTTGCGTTACGTATTGGCCAACTAAGTTGAGAACACAGACCAAGTGGTCAGCCACGAGACACACTGACCACAACAGCGCACCTCACGTACCGACAATCTTCAGTTACATCGGTTGTTGGAAAAATATCAGTAGGTCAAAGATGCTCGTTGACGGCAGTCTTGGCCATTATAATTGGCGAATATACGAAAATAGATGTTTGATACAGGAAATCGTTATAAATATTAGAAATACAATGACAATGGGATAATAACGTAGAGGAATAAAATACAATGTATTTTAATAGGAAGTAAGAACGTTGCACGATGGTTCTGAAACCAAAAGGTGTGGGAAATGCGTAATTTTTACAAATCTCTGGAGAATTAAATAAAATATTGTTCGGAAACTATATCTGATATTGGGTTAAATGTTCTTAAAAACAGTAAGGAAAGTATTAAAATTGACTGGGCAAACTTGATACCCTTCACCACTTTATGTATATTGTACATATGTATCCTAACAATTTCATGGCAATGTTCCCTCGAAGGGACATACACCTTTCTGCAACCTATGCTAAATTGTGTTTCCATCGGGCAGATTTAGAATCGTTTGCGTACAATGGGACAAATATATGGAAATCGATTTATAGCAAACTTGATACACGCTACTCAGTATACCGCACTGATAAACATATAGCCTCAATCAGACACCCGTTCGAAATATATATGATACGTTGTGCAAAATTTCCTATCAATCCGACAAACATTAGGAGTTTGGTGCACCATTGACTTAAAATCGAAGGAAAATATATACGTGGGATCTATATCTAAAAAATGAACTATATCCAAAAAAATGAACACCACATTCTAGACACAATTCAGTACGCTATGCCAAATTTGGTAGAAATCGAAAGATATGTAGGAATTTTGGTTCAACATTTACATTAAATCGGATGAAATATATATATATGTGAGCTATATCAAAATCTGAACCGATTTTCAGGTTCATCATCATTCATTATTCTAGACTTAATTTAGTACGCCATGCCAAATTTCATGAAAATCGAAAGATATATAGAGACTTTGGTATACCATTTACATTAAATCGGACGAAAATATATATATGGAAGCTATATATCTAAATCTGAATCGATTTTCACGAAATTTAACATATGTAATTCTAGACTCAATTCAATACGCTATACCAAATTGCGTTCAAATCGAAAGATATATAGACACTTTGGTGCAACATTTACATAAAATCGGACGAAAATATATATTGGAGCTATATCTAAATCCGAACCGATTTTCACGAAACTTATCACTCATCATTCTAGGCCTAATTCAGTACGCTGTGCCAAATTTCGTGAAAATCGGAAGATATGTAGTGCATCCCTATAATTTACATAAAATCGGACAAAAGTATATATGGGAGCTATATCTAAGGCTAAACTGATTTTCACGAAACTTAACACACATCATTCTTGGCTTAATTCTATACGACATGCCAAATTTCGTGCAAATCGAAAGATATTTACGGACGTTGGTGCCTATATCGGAAGAAAATATATATGGGAGCTATATCTAAATCTGGACCGATTGAATTTCAATAGGGTTCGTCTTTGGGCCTAATAAGTGATTTGAGCCAAATTTCATCCAAATCGGATCATAAATGTGACCTGTACTTTGTTTACAATTTAACATGGACAGACGGGCGGACGGACGGATATGCATAAATCGACTTAAAAATTGATTCTATGCATATTCTCAAAAGGAACCATGTGTCTATCTCGTTTCCTTTTGCCTGTTACAAACGTATGCACAAAGACATGATACCCTATATATGTTTTGTTCCTCAGCTTTATCAGTCGCTTTATAAGCGTCTGTCCATCCGGCTGTCTGTCCATTGTAATTTCTAAACACATTGCAGGCCATAGTTATGAACCAATCTTATAGAATTTTTGCATGTAATGGTTTTGCATGGTTTTGACCAAAGAAGATCCCTACTTTTCAGTGGATTAAATGGACCCAAAGCTTTATAAACCCATCACAACTATGTTGTAAGGGTATAATATCTTTGTGAGGCCAAGAGTTTGTAACGCCGAGAAATATTGAGCCCATACCTACATTTTAGTATACCGATCGTCATATGTCGAGTAGCTGAGTCGATCTCGATATGTGTGTCCTTCCATCTGTCCATTATGATTTGCAAACACGATACGGGCCACAGTTATGGACCACTCGCCACGAAATTTTGTATGCAGGACGGTTTCTGGCCAAAGAACATTTTTGGTAAGAACCCGTTCCACAATTTTTAATGGGTCATATAAACCCAGACCTGTGTGTGAAAAATGACAAAATGTCTATTCTTTGGCGTATAAATTTACTCCTGAAGAACGTAGATCCGAGAAGTTGTTAGTATATCCAAACGGAGTTGTTGACCTTTGAATTGATACCATTATTGTTGTATGTTATATGGGATCTGGTCGTGAAATAAACATGGATCTTTTCATGATAATCGTTCAATATCAGAGGGTCAAATGGACCAAGACTTTTGTGTGAAAAATTGCAAAATTTGCTTTCAAATTGCGAATATACACAAGAAGGACATTATATCAATGAGTGGTTAACCTTGAAATTTATACCAATTATTATGGTGGATGTTGGAGTTAATCGTTATTATTTACAGGGGAAGATTTATTCCGATATTGTTTAATATTACCATTATTGCACTAGAGGACCCAATATTTCACAATGATCGCTATGAATCTTTACATTCCGGTTATGGCCAAAGACGACGCCTATAGTTTTCGGTTCGAAAATATTATTTTTGTGTGTTTTTCCAGTCGCTCTAGAGGCCACTTTTACAAGCCGAACATTATAAATGTTACAAAGGGAGATACCTATCCCCGGCCAACTATTTAGAATGACTGTTTTGATAATATTTTGCGGATCAAATGAACCAGGACTTTTGTGTAAATAAATAAATTGACCAATTATAAATTCACTGAGGGAAAACATGATTCCGAAAAGAAGCCAGGGAAAGGAAGAGGAGTTGTTGACTTCAAATCGGAAAATGCTGCAAATATCGCGAAATATAGCCCAGTCTCGGAATATAAATCCGCAGAATGTTATAGTTCAGTGGCAGCTGTCCGTCCGGTCACCGGTCACTGGTTTTTTCATTAAAAATTTCAACCATCGGCTATATTTCTTAAGTTTATGAACGGTCACAGATATTCCTAAAATTCTGAACAAAGAAAATATCAAGACGTCGATTGCTACCATAACCATTAAAATGTCCTATGGCACAGCTTGACACTATGTTTTGAAACTAAATTATTTTGGAAAAATTAAATTTATTTCTAATCATCTTCACTTTCATTCTAATCACCAGTTCCATCTGTTTCATTGGCTATCATATCATGTACATATTTTGACACATATCAATGTTATAAACCATTTTCCATATATAAACTATATTTACAAAAGTATGCAGCTTTGACTTTGACATTATGTCACTTGTCACTTATGTCTAGCGGGGCAGTCACCACATGATGAAGACACAAGCGACCATTTGCATCGAAGTTCTGTTGATATCATTTTTTTTTGCAAATTATGCAAATGTTTATAACAGTTTAGTGTCGTATAAGGAAAATTCCAAAATAGGTTATTGAACTTAAAAATATTGAATATCAAAATTCGAATAATTTATAAATTATTAATTCATTTATTTCAAAGTCCACAAATGGACATGAAAACCAAAAGTCAAGCTTTATTATGCGTCTTATTGTTATGTTGCTAACATTGCAAAAAGTTTATAACAATGCATTAGTTTTGCTTTTCTTTAGTTGTTGTTAACAACAATCACCGTGAGAAATTTTACCTTATATAGATATACAATATAATTCGATCGTAATATAATAGTAAATTAAATTTAATTCATATTTGGCGCCACTTAATATTTTATTGTTCGCTCATTCAATTATAATTCATATTCATTTTATTGTTATTTTGCTTTTGTATTCTACCACATTTAATTTTATTGGTCGAATAGCCAAAAACAAAATCGATTTCTATAACAAATAAATGAACGTGTTATAGGTCATGGTTTTGCTAGGGTGTTTGTTTGGTACTTTATTATGCAGTCGGCACAGCACTACACACATTTTAGATAGTATGCTTATTTTAGTAAACGGAGGGTGACATGTTAAATATTTAAAATATATATAAGCTATAAACAAGTTGAAACATCATACAAAATATTTTTCAAAGAAA